ACGAACACGATGGTCCAGCCGCCGTAAGTTACTAGCGAACATGCAATTTTGAAGCAAATTGCGTTACACTTATCTCACTGTCCCTTTCAACACCTAACACGTTCGGACGACGACTAAAAGAGGAGGGCTGCAAAATGGTACAAAGTCGCGTGTGCCGCATAAGATTTAGCACGCCGACTACGAGGATTTAATGGCGGGCCTCGGACGTCACAGAAGCGCAAGTACCTTTGGTAAAAAAGCCTGTGTATAAGCCTCCTAAGGCGATGTTGATGGGTAAATCTGACATGGTGGACGTTGGTAGGGAGTTTACAGCACCACTTCTTCAGGTATTTTACGATGCTTTTGCAGTTAGTCTATCTGAAGGATGCCGGATGGGAAGGTGAGGTTACAATGGGACAACCTGTTACTGTATCTGTGCTAACGACGGAGCAAACAGGATTGGAGAACGGTATCAACAAGGACAGTTAAGAGAAATGTCCCCGGTGGTTGGGTTTGCTGTGTGGGAAGTACGTTGGTCTCGTTGAGGTTAAAATAGGTTCGCAGATATTCGATATGGGCAATCTGTGAACTGGGTATGAAAAATTCAAACATGTAAGCAGGGGTTGAGCATCGTTGATGTTGGTTAGCAGAATTCGAGCTTTGCCTGCCTGTCGCATTGACATGCCCCCGCATACTCAGTTGGCTTAAAAGTAGTCACTTTACTCTTACCAACAGCTCGCCAAGCCTTGTTTGAGGGAAAATATACACATATATGTGAACATAAACAGAATGATTCACAATCCTGGCAGCATAGCTTAAAGCCTAGATGTGCGTGTTTCATCCATATTCTGAACCTGCATGGCACGACTTATCAGCATCCCCCCAGGCGTTCCGTGTACTGTTTGGTATATACTCCAAGCTTCGTTGTTATCCTCTTTTAATTTATTTCGAAATTGCTGCACAAACTTGGAGTGAATCTCTCGGATGGTTAGCAATGAAAAGTTAACGTACATTCGAGAAGTGTTTCGAATCAGGTGGCCTTTGAGCACCCAGTGTTTGCCGAAACTCCATATCCGGCTTTGGCAGTGTCCGGACATCAGCACCCGGCGCTGCTGAGCTATCCTCCTCAGGGGGCTGATTAGGCAGACCCGAATCGTTGAATGACGGTGGAGGCGGCTTAAAAAAGAGATAATAACAACAAAATATATTATGAAG